ATTTATCCTTGTTTCTGCAAATTCGAGATATTTGCGAGCTTTGCCTGTTAATATTACCCTTCGAGATCGCAGATACAACGACTTTACAAGTTCCATAACCTTGCTATAACGCGACTACGATTCTTTTGACGATTGCAATATTTGCACTCGCTTTGACGAAACGCGAAACGAAGGATCAGAACGATGGAAGACGCGTTCCACACGCGAAATATACGAGTTGGCGGAGACGAGGATCGAAGGTGCTCTGGCAGGTGAGCCGGGATTATTGGCTTCGTCTGAGACTAAACGGAGTTGGCTTAGAAATTCGACGCTTTGACGTCATCCTGCCGCCACGGCTTTCCATCGGCTTCTTTAAATAGAGTGATCAATGATATTGCTGATTGGACGCTCGAGCTTCTGCTCCAACGAACTCGAGACACGATCATCCAGAGATCCTTCATCAATTTTAACCCTTTAACGAATTTTTACTCTTTGCAATTTCTAACATTTTTCGGCTATTAATTTTATAGTCATTATTTAAATTACTGCTATTTAAACCAGTGATTTTAAACGAAGGTTCGCTAAAATTCCTGGGTTGCAGAAATTAGCGACAACTGCACAAAGCATGGCAGCCCGAACGTCTTGTCTTGTATTAACTCGGTGAACCATGGCTCGTTAACGCTTTGAATAGACATAACTGTGTCCTCAATGATATTAATGAGCGTTTCTGCTAGGATCCGACGGTCTAATTGTGTAAATTACCACCACGATTCCCTGTCTATTCGCTTTTCTTGAAAATGTCCAATAAATAACGGCTCCCTTTGATCGTTGACCGACAACATCCCACTCGAAGGAAACCTCTACCGCTTTCAGTCGTATTCCGCTGCGAATTCGACCTAATCTTACAAGTCCGATTCAGAGTTCGAAATTCTGATAATTTATAGGCAATTAAAGCCTTAAAGAAATGTTAAAATAACATTTCATCGATAAGAAACGACAGCTCATTTAGGAGTGTAAATTGCTCTCGTAGGACCTAGTGAAAAATTATCTGTATAGGTTCGTGAAAATGACGTTGCTTTGATATAGGAACACAGACGGTGCTCGATGATTCGCTTATTAATCGTCCCGAATGGCTTTCGAGTTTTTTCCACGAGACGAACGGGTTTAATATCGGAACAGGACGAGTGCAAAATCCGCTCGAATTGAATGGTCGTCGATATCGAAAGTTTTACGGCCGAAATGAATGGGGATTTTACGTTGAATGTCGCGTGAGCGCGATTTTTGTATGGGGAAACATAAGCTGAATGGATAAAAAAGGAAACATCGTAGCTTCCGTTCGAATGGAACTTTCGATTGGATTAAAATCTATCTTTCAAACGGATACACCAAGTCAATAAACACTATAGGGATTCATTTTTAATAATTAATCGAGATACCTCCTAAATGAAGAGAGGTAAATCTGAATTTATGAATCATCTGCGTGATATAGTTCCACAAAAGCTTTTCAAAGTTCCATCGTTGTTATCCCATCAAATTCTCCGTGAATATTACATCCGACACACATGGACGACTCAAAGAAACTAATTCGCATCGAGAACGGTTGAATAAGGGCATAGAAACGAACAACAAAGAGGTTCAAAGAAAATTCCAAACAACGTTCAGGATTGCACGTCACTGGACGAACAATGGAACTAGAAAACGATCGAAGCTCCTTCCGAGAAATGAACATGGTCGAAGGAGACCGTAACCTGTATCCATCCACCATTCTAATTTTGGTACATCGATGGGTCACTCTCGATCGATCGACTAAATTTTCAACAACGACCCGACGTTGATACATTGGGATCTCTAGAATTTCGGGACGTGGATATATTTAGAGATTCAGAAATTTAGTAACTTAAGCAGTTGCTAACATTTCAGAATATGGAAATCGAAAAATTTAGAGACATGAAAATTTTCGAAACCTGACAAAATTTGAAAATCGTAAAATTTGAAGAGTCACGCAAAATTGTCTCAAAGTTCGTTACAGCTGTTCCATTTATAATTCGATGTTACAAATACCGCAAGTTATAATGTAACGAAGTTTCGTAGGATAAAATGCTTCGAAATGAACAGGAAGTAGAATCAATCTGGACTCGCCACGTGTTTTCTGCATTTGACGGTTCAATTATTTCCATAAGACGAGCATCTAACGAGTCATCGTGTCAGCGTTGGTCGGTTTGGTCGAGTTTAAAATTAGATTCCACGAAACGAACCGCAAGCCGGAAGAGGCAACGGGCACGAAATTTATTTTGCGCCACGTGAAAATTCCGTCGTGCAAACGTTCATTCATTATCCGTTCGTTGAACGAAAGGCCTCGAGTTTCGAATCTAATGAACAACTTGACGAATTTCATTCGAATCGTATAATTGAATAAAAGTCGATGCAGATATTTTACACAAGCGGTAACATCAAAGAAAACTCGATAACCAGATAATTAATAATTGGTTCTACGTTAATTTACATCGCACACTCATTTTTGTCACGATGAAAACGTATAGAACGTACATATAATTTTACGACCGTATCTCTTAACCCTTTCGGTTACGAATTATTTCATTTAAGCAGTTCTTTGAATTAAATTACAATTATATTCGATCTATTAGGAATTCGAAATATAGTTCATTAACGTGAATTTAAAACGAGTATAACTATTCTGAATTATTTATAGAAGCAGATTATTATAAATACGTAGAGGCCCGTAGTTTCGGTATTGTAGCGTGTCCGACTACGCACGACCGTATTCACTGTGGCGGTAAACGCGTTAAATATTCCACGATGTGTCAGCAGTCGGTGCATGATGCATTCAAGCAAATATAACAATGCACGAACACGTCATGGATAGCTACGATAATCTGTCGAGTCTTACGCATTCGCCCATTCCATTCTACAAAAAGGAATCATTAATCGAAGCAGTATTAATCCTCTCTAATCAGAGAGGATTATTTACACCGAAGAGAATTACGCTGAAAAACTAGTAATAACCACATCGTGTATATTCCGATTTTTCAGAAAACGTGATCTGTAGCGAATGGATTAATCGTAATCGTTCGACGCGAGTAGACGGTCCAGAAGGGTTCGAGATGTTTGGAGCGAAAGGACAAGCCACGAAAGGCGAAACAACTCGAAGCTTGGAGGAAGAAGGTAGGAAAAGGACACGAAAGGCAAAGGGAGTGCAAGAGTGGTCAGACTGGTGTAACAGGACGTTACTCGACGAGTGCAAAGCCAGGCCAAGAAGCGAGCCTCTTCTCTTCTGGTATTATTCGTCCGTCTCTTTTCGATCCTCTTTGCTCTCGAGGCTAAGTCTAAGCGCGGAATGCCGCGTACAGTCGCCTGCAACCTACGTACGATAACGTCAACTCGACAATGTTTCCATTTAGAAGTTTCCGAATCTCTAGATTTCAGTATACCATCTAAAATATCCAAAATCCTCAAAAGCCAAGATCTCCAAAATTTTCAAGTACCCCTAGCGACAAAATCCCCAAATCGTAAAGTCTCTAAATTCCAAAATCGCCAAATGTACAAGCACCCCGAGTAAAAAATTGTTGAACATTAAAATCCCAGTTTCCCCATTGGTCACCATAGATTCCCTAGGGAAGGAGATTTGCTAGGGACTGTACGGAAGAGAGCGAAGGGTTAGCGTACGGATAAAAGACCCTTCTCGGCGTGCTACACGCTCGAGGGTTCTCGTCGCAGGGTCAAGGAACGCGAGTGATACCGCTCCGTAGACGGTTTCGCGGTGTTTATGCAAGTCGATCGTACCGTTAGCATAATCGCAGCCTGCATTCACCCGGGACTCGAGCGTTCGTTAAGGTTTTCCTTCGCGAAATGACGGAAACCGTGTTCTGCGTCATTATCTTTCCTTCGGTAATTGATCATTTCTCTTTAACCTCTTCGTCAACTATTTTTTTTACTCTCCGTTGCACACGCGCTATGCGAAATAATGCACCACGAAATTCGAACGTTAACGAGTATCGAATTTCCTAATTAACGAATCCCGCCAACATATTTCTCGTTTTCCGTAATTACTTCGCGCTGAGCCATCTTGCATAATTTTCATTTAAATCGCTTCTTTGCTATCTTGTTACTATCGCGCACTCGTGTCTCTCCTTCCTCTCATTAACGATGCGGAAATTGTTAATCACGCTGAATTCGTTAATCAAGCATTTGACCGCAGAACAAATTAGACAATGGAAACCTGTTTCTCGTAAACGTCTCTGTATTACGTAGAGGCCTTTCTCGCGCTACGCGAATGCAAACAAACGTGACCGAGGCCGAGCTGAATGAAATTCAGATCGCGAAAAGCGGGCCACCAACTCGTGTCGTCATATCATGTTTTTGCGACGCAATCGTTTTTCTCTTAGACTGCAAATACCTACGCGCATATCATCCTGTCGCTGATCCTATCAGTCACCGGTGCTACCTACTTCTTTTATTTGCGTAATCGAAAACTACCAGAAGGAATTTTCAAATACCATTTACGTCTTTTAATAGAAATCTAACGAACTCGGCTAGGAATTGCTAATTACAGACTCATAATTACTCGTATTACCGTAGTCATCGTTGGATCAATCGACAATTATACGCGCGTAGATAAATATATTTTTATACTTCATTCTCAGATATTTGTACACCTAATTGTCCATGTAAGAAAATTTCTATAGATCTCGAAGTTCTAATTTTACGTTAAAAAAAGTGACGATAAGTCGAATGTTAGGTTAGGTATGATAATAGCGTACGTGTTAGGCGTTAAACGTGACCGACGGTGAAATTAAATAAACGTTCCGACTGGATGTTTCACGATCCGTACATAGAGTGACGGTCGCCGGTTATGTGGACGCGTAAATCGTTCTCGGGGACGACTTAAGGAGGCCGTTCGTCGCCGATTGTCGTCCAGCGAATTCCACGGCCGCGTGTCTTGCATGCGGAATGAAACCCGATTGCATTCTTGCCGCGTCAACGCGAAACTGTTATATACTCACCGATAATGGTGTTCGCCGCTGCAACCTCCGGGATGGATCGGCAGTGAACCCTGCACAAACAAAACAACCGACCCTTTAATCCTCTTCCCGGTTTCTAAACGCACTCGCGCGATCTATTGTTACCGCATACCGTACGCAACGATCGACGTAGTATTACGTTTTTTTGCCGCGAGTGAAAGTTGACTGCGTACCGATGTTTCGATGCCTAACTGAATTTTAACGAAAATTTCATCGCGTATAGGCTGCGATTGCGACGTAATACTACGTTGAGAACCTTTTCTAGAAATATACTGGACTTTGGCAATCGCGAATGTTCAATATTTGATTGCATACAGGATGCACTGCATGAACAGGTCACGTAGTATTACTTTGGTGACTGTTTCGAACATGAAAAATGTACATTGGAACCGCAATTTTTAATTTGGAAGAAAATACTGTACAATCTTAACGATACTATATCATCGTTCTAAATGAGCCTCTGACAGAACACACAGTAACGTTTAGCTAACTTCTGATTTACCGAAAGAAAAATTGGACTGTGTGAAATGATAAGGGTTGACAAAGGGTTTAGTGGACAAGGGTTATCACTTCACAAACCTCTGACGTAGTACTACGTTCCCTCATCAGTGAAAGTTCTCTGACACACTCGTAATCCCTAGTTACGAAAAAACTGCTCGACGTAATACTATGTCTTTCGGTCACAGAAACCCGAGACTAATTAGACTCAACGAAGTGTGAATTCACGCCACGAAACGGAAGGTGTCGATAATATCTATAGCTTCGATTATTCAAGTGGAATGTACTGTTCTAGCACCGATATAATATCCAAGATCACACGATCAAATTTAATTAGAAGCGTTTCCCCGACGTTCGACACACTCCTTGCAATATTACTACTTGTTTAATAGTGACCCAGACCTACAGAACTCGATAGAGCTTACGCTAACGCTAGTCTATTAATTTTACGATGTCAATTACTTTTATAGTGGAATATCGAAATACAAAATGATGTAATAATGTAACGAAATGCTAAGTTAAAATAATGAGAAGATAACAAAGCAGTGAATTAAACCGGTTGAATAATAGAATAGTGTAGCAAAATGGTTAGATGATAAGAATAGTAAAACGGTAACAAGGTAAAGATAAGTAGCGGAATAAATAACCTAAAATTGAAAAACATCCTCGCTATAAAATATTGAATCTAAAACATTTCATTGATCTGTCATCAATTTTCCAGAGGATAAGAATCGTTTCCTAGTGTACCAGTCGATAAGAAACCCAATGCCGATCACGGTAACACCGAAGAGAAACACGCAAGAGATACTACGAGAATACCCCACGCAACAATTGGTCGAGCATGAAATCCGCAAAAAATCGCCTAGTTACGCAATTATCGATCACGGCCTTCGGTCGCTATGGAACAGAACTCGATATAATCCACACCGTGGTCACTTGTCACTGTTCCACCACCGATCACAGAGAAGCACGTGCACTGGTCCACGACGAGAGCGATCCAAGATTACCGAAGCAGCCAAGGTCACGGGAGCGACCACTCCTCTAAACGCTCCGAATGATCAATCCGGGTGTCCAAATCTGCAGACCCGCGGCAGACGCACGAGAGTCCACAAGGTCGGCAGAGATCGAGAGACAGCTAGGTCAGGGTCAACGAGATAGTCGTACCTCCAATTATCCTTCCGAGTAACCGGCGTGTACGCGTCGATGAGATACGTCGAAGAAAATTCTGTCGAGGATACCGACACACTGTGTGGACGCGCGAGTTAACTTAGCGAAGAGTGGTGAGCCTGCTTCTTCCGACGCGAGTAGTAGTCGGTCTAACAACACCTCCCTTCCTTCTTGCCCACCTTCTACCTCCTCTTCATCGCGAAGAGGCCACCAACTTGTTCTGGTGGGAGAGCAGATCGCCAGAAAGAGAAGGGAGAGATCGCCGCGGATGAAAGAAGAGAGAGGACGAGAAAAAGCACATGTGTGTACGTAAGTGCACTCGGGCTGCGAGCTGCAACGTGAACGAATAATCCGGATGCACCAGGAGGATAGAGGAGGGCGACAGGGGGAGCTCGAAGTCAATGAACGACTTCACCGCAATCGCCACGCGGTGAGAGAATTTCACGGTTGCGGGCTTCTCTTCGTCTGCCCCTCCTCCTCCTCCTCTTCTTCTTCTTCTCCAGTTTTTCCATCGATTTTGCCGCGAGCTATTTGATAAATGGCTACGCTTTGATTGCCATACGGGTCAGATGGATATTACGTATTTTATGCCATTTTCAGATTCAAAATTTTACGCCTCGAATGCTTTTAAATATTATTTCTTGCTGACATTTCACACCCTGTCGTTTCAACATATGCCCTTACATAGTTTCCTAAGAAAAGTTGATGGAAAAACTTCTTAAGACCCAATCAAAATTGTAACATTATATGAATACTTCTGCAGAGGAGTGTTCTGCGTAAAGAAATTTCGAGTAATCAGCTCGGTATCAGCGACGCTCCAACAAGGTCCACAGATAAGGTACATTTGCATTCCGACTGTACACTTTATCGCGAACAGTCCGTTCACAATGATTCAATGCATCCGAGGCTTAAAATTCCAAGATGCTCCGAATCTTCGTAACGAATTAAAGCTATAATATTTGCGGGTGCAGTGATTTCTGACATCGGAACGAACGAATCTAGCACGACGATCCTCTCGAATGATGTTCATCGTCTAAAATTCGTACGCCAGATGTTACCAATGTTCTCATCCGGAGTATCGATCATTAAAATCGACACTCGGCGCGATCAAACGTGGCCGTTTAATTCGAACTCGAAACGAGATATCGTTTAACCTGGATCGCGTGCCCGTCTGTTCGAATTTCCGAGCGGAAACTGTCGAAAGAAAATGGAAAAAATAAAAAAAGGAAAGGAAACATATGGAGCTCGTTACCGAACGAAATTCGCTGGCGAAATTTCCGAATTAAATTTAAATTCCATTCAAGTTTATCGTTCACTGACGAGTCGGATGTTGCAACGACGACGAAAATACGCCGGTCTCGCCCACTCGCTCGAGAAAACGCGTTAAAATGTAGCCTGGTTCTCGTGAACGAGCTTCAGAAATTATTCGAGCCACCCTGTTTAGGATCGCACTGAATAATTTTCTGTGTATCGACACCGCGGATTCAAGTTTTAATTGCGACCCGGCTCTCGCTACCTCCAACGCGTTGCTTAACTTTCGGAAAATTCGGTGCACGCGAAAAACGTGTTCGACGAGATTAATTCTGTTTCCAACAGTTCGCATCTGTTACCAATGTTACACTATTTTTTTGCTCCAAACTTTACCACCTAGCTAAAACACACAATTTTTTAGATAAATTCCTACTTCTATTTGTTAATTGAATATACACGATCTAGGGACGTGGAGACATTCCAATCTACAGATAGAATCTACTAGTATAGAAATGTAACAGTATAATACTATAGCGAAATAGTAGTAAAACCCTGCATCACGCGATATCGCGTATTTAGTCATAATCGCTAAACCTCTCGAGTTACAACTCCTTTCACCCACGATTTAAAAATTTTTCGTGTACATCAAACCTCCTACATTTTGCATATCTTATTCCTATAATAGCGCTTGAACAAAGCAGTAGTACGAGGGTTAATGAATGGATATTGGAATTTCGATTGCTACGTTTCGAACGAGTGAGCTGTTTATTTGCACTGCGGCCAGTTTGTATTTTAAAGGCAGCTGAGTAAACCGAATGGATGATTTAAGAGCGAGTGTTAGGTCGAAACAAGAGGATATTCATCTGGCAGAAAATGCACACGCCTGTTCGAAATTATTATCTGAAACCGTGTGAGCGTGTATCAAAGGCAGACGCGAGTTGGAAGCAGACTCTAAGTTTGCAACAAATCAACGACCTAAAAGCTCGAGAATATCGGATTCTGACGCGGAAAGCTATCCTGGGTAGTCTGTGGCTACGTTGCGGTAGCTAACACAATCGAACAGTGAAAAATAATGTCCGCAAATGATATCGTTTGTTCAGCAGTCGACTTGTCGCGAAATTAACAACACATGCTTGAACAGAGAGCTCTTCGATATGAAACATGATTCATAACTTCCTATCGGTCTTAGGAATATTCCTGGCGATGACTCTTCAAAACACATTTCTTTCGCGATAGTCACAAGTCGGATGTCATTACTTGAAAAATAATCGGATACTTTAGTGGGAAAAATATGTAACCTTGGTTCGATATAAGTTTGATGTTTCAATTATTAGTTCTATTCAGTGGTAGAAAGAACCAACTTTAAAATCTATAAAAAATTCGGTAACCCTACAATTATGATCCAAGAATATTTCACCTTAGCAACGTCTTGTCACTTAAAACACCAGCACATGGACATACGAATCAACCATCAAACGAAAATTCATCAGAAACTCAATCATCGTTAACCAAAATCTAATCAAAACTTCTTAGTACTATTATCAGAAGCTCTGCCTAAAAGCTAGCTATTTCAAACTTGAACCGTATCACTAAACAACGTAGCAAGTAGATAAATATACCACTACCAGAAATTGAATCACCCTTAACTAAATTCCAGCCAGTATTTCCACAATAACAAGCTTCGATCCAATAGAGAAATGTGTCACTAGGCAATCAAGCACTCACCAAACGAAGATTCATTAGAAATTCGATCTAAACGTAACCTAATTTCTCAGCATCCCTACAATGATTCAATAACTCACGTTTCCAGGTAGAAACAAGCACAGTGTCACTGACCAGGGAGTACACAGACATCGACTAACCCTAAACGAAACTTTGCCAGCTTCGGCAGAGACGCACTCTGATACAGAAATCGACACGCGATCGTCGGAAGAAGCATATTAGACAGCGGAGGGTAGAAATAGGAGAGCGTACCTCCTGCGTACGTTGCTCCACCGCGATTCCCGGTGTTCCCGAAGCAGACGAACGGGTCCTCACGTTGTCCCGGCGTTCGAACACGTTCGCAAAGTGTGACACGCGTAACGACAACTCGCGCGATGCGTGACATGCGTGTGTCGCGCGTTATGACGTGGCGTGTGTGCGGAAGTATATTGATCAGCTGATGGTCGGGTGGATACTGGGCTGTTTCGCAGAATTCACCATATTGTTGCGTCAGCGCGCATGCGCGGAGCCCTTCGTTCACCCTTTTCCTGCGCCCCGACCACCCTCATCTTTCTAAAGCCACCCCGCGTTTCTTCCTCTATTGTTCAATGAAAAATGCCGAGAAAAAGAGAGCCGATACGTCTGCGGATATAAATTCCAGATTTCGAGAGGATACGGTGAACCTCCTCAAGGTTAATAAAGGAACGGAATCGATGACGGAACGGGGAACCTAAGGTGCTTATGTAATTCCAATCGTGTCTTGGGGTTCTTACTACCCCTCGTTATCAACCGCACTTTCCCTTTCTTTGCTGTGGGGGATCATGCACTTGCCATTGGCTTTCGCAACTTTTCTACCGAAGTACTAGAGTTTGTTCTTCGACACAATTTCTCAAATTTGGAAATTCTTCAAAAATTTCTTCTACAAAAATCCACAAATACGGAAATTTCTCAGGTCAACAGTTTGAAAACCGGTGAACCAGGAATTAACTCGCGAGTCCCCTTTCCGTAAGACTGTCACTTTCCCTAAGAAAACATGTTCGTCCGAATGCGTTACACCTATGGTCGACGGTATATCGTAGCTAATGCTTCTTCGATGCGTTCCGAGTATTCGATAGGATCGTAATCGTGAAATCTAAGTAAGCTGGAACCTCTCGGAGAAAGCCGAGAATTTCATACGTGGTGTGCCATGTCGACGACGCTTTCTAAAACTGCAGCAACGTTGCTCGAAACGCTTAGTAAATTACATTTCTGCTCGGAACGAAATGTGCAATTAACGCGATTTCGTATTGCATGGCCCACTGGTGACCTACTACGTCCATCGCGGTGAAACTATCCTTCAAAAAAACGGAACAACGTATCGAAAAATGTCCGATATTCGCTAAGAATCTACGTTCGATGTTGGGGAAGACGCCGGCAAAATATTCGAGGAACGAACCTCGTGACACAATGCCGCGATCAAAGAACCTCGTTAACAACAGACGCACGTGGGCTTCGCTGAATATTCGAGACTCGAGGATCGGAACCGTGTTAACCATCCCGCGGTGTTTCCCTTTCACATTCAAATCGCTCTAGCCAAGGTTCGTTACCGGAATCGTTTCCGAATAATACCAACAGAATGTCTTTAAAAAATGAAATGTCTCGAAGAAAAGAGTGACGACTTCCCTCTAACAATATATCATACAAAACCACTGACACACCGCATACGTTACATGTCCACATACTTGAAATAATAGGGACACACCCTGTGCGTCGTGCGTTAATTATACGATGTAATATAAGACAGATCATGTGCGTCATACACTACCGAGTACCATACGTGGTTTCGAAGGACGCATCCGGTGCGTCCTACACTTATACAATACGATGACACACCGGGTGCGTCGTACGTTGACTATTCATGCATCTGCAACCCTCCTGTTGCAACGAATAGTATAAGATACGTAAGGTGCAGAGCACAAATAAATTTATTTTACGGTCTGCCTGAAAGGTCAAGAATAAATAAATCTCGTACGCGATGAATGTACAACGGTCTCATAAAGCACAGAAAATGATAAATGTCTGAGTCCCCACCACGAGAGCAGGAAAATTCGAGGAAAACACGAAACTAACTGGTAAAACACACGTTGAAAACCGAGGTCCAGCCACGGTTGTTATTTCATGGTTGAGACACGCGTTAGGATTCACAGTCACGCACTGTGATTCGCCTCTCGATCCACGGGCAAAGAAACGGAAAGCTTTGTTTCATTCGCGAGCCGAAATAGCTTTTGTCCGTTTCCAGTTGCAACTAGTTGCGACACGAGTTGCATGTATGCATCTCGCGTTGGTGGTCAGAAGAAACTAAATCCTGTACGAGACTTCCTAGTCTACGCGATTTATCGAGCACTGATGTTCCATAAAAATATCTCAAGAAAGTGTCTGACAAGAATATCAAGAGACTATTACTATCTTCTGTCAAGTTCTCGAGTTTTATTGGATTTTCACTGAAAGGTTTACGTGTCGTTTGCAAGTTTCGTACCCGATGACCTATTAAACTGACGTTTCGATCAGGGTAACGACGGAAATTGATACACCGGAGGGTTGAAAGCGATGCCAATTAATAAACTGATTCGAAGCAGAGGACGGGGTTAGATGTAGAAATCGAAGAAATGTCTAGTGGCCCAGAAGAGGAGGCACGACGCGTTTCGCGCCTTTAAAAGATGCAAAAGTTGCAAATGAACTTTCTAACCGCTCCATTCATTCGCCGGGCCTTCGTGAGAATACGTTATTGCACACGAAGGAAGGAACAACGCGTGGAGGTGGCCGTTATCTTTCGACGTGGCACTCATTTTTCTGTTCATTCGAATGCAACCCGCGAGGCTCGGCTAACGGACACGTTATCTTTACGTGATCGGCAAACGGCCGTTTCGAAACGCGCCGTTTCGTTTCGCGTGGAAACTCCTTCGACTATGGAAAAACGTTAAATTTCCAAATATTCCATCTATCAGACTCCTAAATCTCAGAGTTTCATTTCAGACTTTCCAATCTTCTAAATGTGGAATCGGCGCACACGGTGCGTCTAACAGGTACGATTGATTCTAATAGGTGACGCACCAGATGCGTCTCGTAGTTACCGAGATAAAAATATTGGCACAAACAATACACACTTGTGGTAATATGGGAATTAGAATTGTTTCCGCTATCCTACTCACCACTCTCACCCCGTTTTAGTACTTACGAATGCAGTCTTTTCTCTTCTAATCACTCGATTGCACTCAGTAGCGATTGTAAATTTCTAGCACGTGATTAGATTTTAAATAGATTTTCTATATTCGGTGTGCAGTACGTGTTTATTCCAGGAGCGATAAAACGAAACCGCGGTAACGAACAATAGAGACGTTAATCGTTCTTATCGAGAGATATAAGTGAAGAAGAGTGCGAAACCGTGGTGTAATTAACAATTAAAGAGATACCTGTCTGGCATAGTTGCAACTGGCGCTCATTTGCAATCCACGAAGGACCCCCGAGACAGCCTTTCGCGTATCTCGTTTTGAAAGGAGAGCTTAATTAACGACTGCAAAGACGACACTCGCTTACAATCGCTACGATTTTCCTTTCAGCGCGAAAATTACTACCACGATCTCGGTTATTCGGTTTAGTACGCGAAGAGGGGTATTTTTTATAAACGATTAATCGTCTCGCTGTGTTTCAAAATCCGCCGAGCAACACGTCCGCTTAATTAATGCGTACAATTACATATTGATCGCGAGAAGCTTTGTGTAACGAGCAAGGAAGTTTCACAATTCTGGAATTTCACTTTCAAAGCGAAGCGAATGGTGTGAACATTTAATATAATATTATATTAATACAACAGTAACTTGTATTTACTCGTATGAATATGAATTCGTATTTCTTGTTATACATTAATATTTAACGATGATTTAATGTTATATTAAATGTCCTAATAAATAATATAACAAATTATTTTCACTCACCTTCGGAGCTACCAGCTACGTTTCACACTCGCGACGTCGTCAAACTTTCTGCAACAAATAAAAAGAAAAAATTATGTACAACTTGCTTGGACAAAAATATTTAATACGATACACAAAATGTCTCTAACTTCGCGAGTGTAATCTCTCTACATTTTGTCATACGGTGTAAACGCGATTAACGCTAAAAGAAATCCATTTAGAAAATTCATTTAACTTCGTTTCTATCAATCAACAATTCGAAGCAACTTCTAACGCTTCCCCTGAAAACTGTAACTCGAGAAGGGTATTTAGTGTCTATCGATCGATCGAAGGAACACGTTAGAACATTAGGAGATAGAACGCAGAGGAGCGAAAGGACACGGTGAGAGATTGTTTTCCGGAGCTTCTTGGCGCCAAAACATCGGAACGATAATGAAATAACTTAATTTAGCCGTTGGAGCAAACACATAGATCAAGCTTGCTCCGAAGGAGGGTAAAATATGCGCTCTCGAGCGGTGAGAAGCGTGTTAAAGTGGTCCCGCGAACACGCTCGTAATCCACTTTGCCTGTTTCCACGAGCGAACGGTTCGCGTGCCCGACCAGAAACGTCGATGAATAGTTAATCAGACCCGACTTCCGGCAGACGCTCGATTTACATAATATTCTTTACCTGGAACCAGGATTTCTGATCCCGGGGAAAAACCGACGGATTGATTCGTTGGATCGAGGAAGTTGGCGTGGTTTTCCGCAGAGGTTCAATCGAATGTTTAAGCAGGGATCCACAAGGATTTGGGTTAAGGCGACTGTATCACGAATGTATCCTTTATTATATTCCCTTCAAATTTAAATTTAAATTTAGTGTTTAAACTTTTGTTACATTGCATAGTTTAAAAAATATCCGTTTAATATTGTGAAGGACAAACAATAGGTTTTCTATTCGGACCCTAACAGTACCAGCTCAACGTAATAGCAATCCTCAGATAGCTATGCGGGGCAACAGGTACCCTAACGCTACCAATTCGCTGCAATGATACTCTTAGGGTACGTATACGAGACAATAAAAATTTTAAGGTGCCTTAACCAAATCGGTGCGTTATGTATCTTAATATTACCATGGAACAAATATTCGCAAGCCTTTTCATAAGGTACTATTGCACTGAATAGGTACCCCAAGACTATCACTCGGTGCAATAAATCTACGAGGTTACCTCGGTGCAACAGAAATTTTAAAGCACCTATAAAATAGTACCTAGTACTATAAATACCAATACCCTTCACCCAGCAAAGTCCTCTCCGGTCCACAATGACCACTTTCGATTTTCAGCATACCTCGCATACATTTCTTTTTATAATTAAGGTATAAGAACTATGTCCTAAAGTAACTTTCTATTGAACTGCGAACATTGCACCCCTGAAATTTGAATGGAAGCGAACCAATCGAAAATCAGTCCATGTTCAACCCAGAAACGAAGGTAAGCGAATCCAGTGACCCAGAAAGTGCTTGAAATAAAATTACGCGAGTGTGAGGCGAACCTTATAAACGGAAAATGCAGAAGAATGAAAAATGAAGTTCCAAATGGAGACATGGTTTAAATCAGAGGTAAAAAGAAATCCAAGCCCGTAGGAGATAGAGAAGGAAATCAACGTAGCCCCAGTTCGTTGGACGAAATTGGACTGGTTCGAAGTTGGTCGGCGGAGGACAATTCTAAAACCGCGGAATGGTGCCAGAGTGGAAACGCGAACTGGGACAATGGGAACAAAGAGAGACCAAAGACAAAGCTGTGGCCAGTTACGTGAAGGCCTACTGGCAAGATCGTGCTGGTGCTGAGTATCTAGTTCCGAGTTGGTGAACGATCAACGAGGAACGAACTAAAAACCAGCCTGGTCCCAGAAAATGTGGGCCGAGCAGCGGTTAAGTGCAAGGTCTACGAAAAAACACACGCCGACGATGGTGCGCAAGATGGAAGCATGAAAGAGAACCTTACGCACGAGGACACCTGACTCTGGCGGAGGATCTGTGATAGATAGAATCCAAATCCGAGCGAAAGATGAGCGAGGTCGACGAAGGACGCATCCACTTGGTCGACGAACGCGAGAGCAGCAGCCACTTCTGAAAGGCCGTAGAGGACGATGGCTCCGTCCGCTCGGTGTCTCGAGGTCCGTTTGTGGGTCTCCACGGCCTCGAACTGCCCTCTTATCCCCGGTATCGCCCAATCAAAAAACCGACAGCGTACCGTACGCCGATTGGTCGGGCACGGCCACCGTGAACACTGCAATTGGTCAATCGGGCCGAGTCACCCATGGTTACCGTTTGCATCAACAACATCTACGGTCGATATCACCACCTTGCCTCTATACCTTCCTTTTTGTCTCTCCCTCGCGCGTACACACCACGCTCGATCCCTTCTTCTCGCAACGGAGAACGCACGCCACCCTCGCGATTAGCTGGAACCTCGGCCCGGAATTTTCGAGGGCAACCATGAGCTTCTTTTTTATCCACCACCATCGACCACCCGTACGAACACCTGAACGGGGCCACCTCTTTCGATTTCGGCTACTTGCCGCGATTTCGGTTGCCATAGTACCCTCGCGTTTCGGAGGCTGGCTCACCATTGTGGGCTAACGCGATTCGGGGATAAGGTTGCTGTTTCAGCTAGACACGAGAGTATCTGTGGTTTAAACGCTGGGCAAACGTCTAATGAGACTTTCGTCGAAGGATCATGGTCACCATTTGGAGCTGGGACGTTTAGACTGTCTGGCATAATTGTAACTAACAAGGTACCAACGTTTGAACTTTGCGCATGTTAAGTCTCAAAGCTGTAAAGATGAAACATGCGAGAAATATCGGTAAAGTTAAGAGAGTATCTTACAACTTGGTCAAGGTTAGGTTCAAGATATTAGGGACAGAAACGTAGAAATTTTTGCAAGATCTATTACAATATAGTGGAGTATCCCCTTGTAGACCAAATTCATAAACGATGAAATCATGATTTATGGAGACATAAAAGTATTACTAAAAATTCTGATGAGACCCTGATACGAGGAAGCGTTACCATTTCCGCAAGAATTCAGAGGAGGCAACATTAATTCTACCATTCCAAAAGGATCTTAGGTCTCGTCCGACACTGGCTGTTTTCAACCGGTGCATTTTTCAAGCAAGAAGAAACGATCCTGAGAAGAAATCGCGGAAGCGAACCGCGAAGGGACAACAATGCGATGAAGCGGCAGTCAAGAGGCTGATGACCGGAAAAGGGTGAACGAACGGAAATCGCGAGTAACTCCTGGGAGAAAGGGAGAGTGAGAGAAAGGTGAACGAACAAGAAGAAGAAGAAGAGGAAGAAGAGGTGGAGGAAGGGATAGAGAATGGGGCGAGGAGAATTTATTGTCGTTTCGGTCGCTTTGCTTTGTACGCGTAAAACGTCGAAGACATCGTCATTGACGCGTTTTATCGTCGCACGAAGAACCAGGATGCGATTTTACACCGCTAAATAAGCCGCTACGAGAGAAAAACGGTCGATCTACGTTGGCCGAGCAAGAACAAGATAACTGGAAGTTAACTTACCACGAACAGAATCCATAGAGATTCAAGACCTAACATTTTACAGTTTTCAGATATTTTTATACAAACTGAGACTAATTTTATTGCCTCTGTCTACTTAATGTTCAGTATCCCACTTTACAAATATATAATTACCACTGATGGCAAAAATATCCGTCAGCTGTTAATAAGATAGCCATCATAAAAAAATGCAACGAAGAGAAGAATAAAAGTTAGCGCCAAGAGGAGGGACCGATAGTGGGTTTGGCCGGTTCGATTCGTTTGGTAGGGAAACCTACCGTTTGATGTAACATTAAGGCCTTCTAGAGAAGAGACGAGCAACAAACAGACAGGAAAGAAGGGCGGTTCTGTTGCGAGGACAGCGCAACGGGTCGCACACGCCATCCTCAATAATTCAGCAAACCTTCCATCTTTCACGACGAGTCATTGCTATCGTGCACCCTGTTCGAGAAGATACGGTGCCAGGGAAAGGGCCGATATCCTGGCCAAATACGAATACGAGAACGTGGTGCACGCCAATAACCGGAAAGCCACGAAACCACGCCACGATACGACGGATGAAATTTTGCGAGCAAAGTTGTAGTAGAAGGAAATTTGCTATTTTTCGATTTAGGAATTTACGGATCTAGAAAATCGAGAACTTGAGGATAGGAATCCAGAGAAGTGGGGTTTTGGAAATATTATAATCAGATGACTTATAGAACAGTTTAAAAATTAGAGATGACATAGAGAGTATATCAAAATTTCGAGACGAGCGTGAATTTCTAACTAAATATAGGGGCATAGAGAGTTCGAAAAGTCGCATGGTTCTCTGGTTCGAAGAACTTGTTAAGACTTTCTGCGGTCGTCGAAGGATGCCCCGGGGCCGTGAGAAAGATTCACCGCTCGGTTTTCCTAGGACTAGCCACGAGCTGAGCCAACAAACCGCGCTCGATGTTTCTTTTCCGTTGATTCGTCCCCACCCTCGCTAACTCTGCCTGTCTAGTATTTTTTTCGGTTCTGGAAACCGGCTCGACTGGACGACGATGGACTCTTTGCAGCAGGACAATGGACCTGTTCGTCTTCCTGCTGCCGCAACTTCACGCTTCGTGCGAAAACCACTATCCGCTCGTGATCTTCGGACCTCTTCTCTACCATTGTGTCATTGTTTCGCTCTACGCTCGCATTGTTTGCCATTTCGATTCTTTGGAAATCGTTCCGAGTACGATCTCTTCTCTCGTTCTCTTTTTTTGGAAAAATTGTGAAATGCTTCGATTTGGTATTTACGGGGGTCATTGTTCGATGAAAGAATTTATGACCGAATCACTGAATTCGATCCGACTTGTTCTTGGAACCTGCTTAAGCGAGTTATACCAAAATATTGCATCACACAGCAGTTAAATTTGTGAAAAGTCTGTGAATAATCCGTATTGGAAGAGACGACGTTACATTGAAAAGTTGCTCGATAAAGCAGAGGTATCTGGAATACAAAATTTCCGTTTCTTTCTCCTCGCGATCAAAGTTGCATTGTAACTTCACGCGTGAAAACCTCTTCCTTTTAAACGAAACATTTTTCCGTCCCTTTTCATCTGACCGACTGGATTCTACCACGGTTACGAAACAGTGTAAGTATGATCTCCCTTGTAAGGTTCGTCTTTACAGTTTCACGATGTCCCGAGCCACGGAATTTTCTCCGCAAGTGCATGAAACGTTTTCTTTACCTTCTGTTTCCGTTTTCCTCTCCTCTGTTGTTTTTTTTCTCGCCCGCAACTCCGCAAAGTTACTCCGTTACTGAATTTTACAAAGCTTTCTCCTCCGTGAAACAAAAGTACATACATCCACGGTCGTTTAAATGAGTTTCAACTTAGCTTTCTATCGTTACCTCATCCACCCATTTGTTCTTTCTCTCTTCGAGTATTGACAAAGATACTTCAACTCATTTTCTACCATCAGTTCGTTTCACAATTTAACCCTATCGTTTACGTTTTCTATTTGCCATTCGTTTATTAGAAATATATTTAAACGATAGAGAAGGAACAATCGCTAAGGACTCTTTTCCCGGATATTCAACTCTGTTAAATACCGTAGAATTTTCGAAGGATTCCGTTCGGCTTACTCGTAATCCCATCGCGAAAGTTCTCGTTTAGCATTCCAACGCATTTGGTCAGGTTTACTTACGGCTACTCTTAATTCTCCCCTAATCATGGGGGTTAAACTGTTAGAAGCTTTGGGGATTTGTACGTCGATGCACCCGTTTGCTTATGTTACGGGAGATAAGGGTTTCCGGATGGTCCAAGTTCCGACTGGTTAATTCAACGCTTATCTGTTGAACGCTCCTTTAGGACGGGATATTCAATGAATTTTCTCCAAATCGTACGTGTACATACGTTCAATTTTAATACCGTGAACTCGCGGCGTCAATTCATAAAAATGAACACTACGACTTGAACGCCATTTGAAGTAAGCATTCGTTGAGTCTGACAGTGTTTTACGCGTAGACACGGAGAAGTAGAGGTCCGAAGTGTCGAGAAGGAAAACAGCAAAAGTGAAAAATTGGTACGAAACGCGCGGTCGATGTGTTAAGTAATCCTCGTGGTTGGCTGGCGAACGCGATGAAAATGGCAATATACATGTCGGGAAAAAGAATGTTCTTTGCTAAGGGATTTCGTAACGGTGAAAAGTGAACTGCGCGTGGTGAATGAATCGTTTGGACTGGAGCGAGGTGATCGCTTGAGTAATCGTCCACCGATGACGTGTGTTTGATTTGCAACACGTTTATAGATTGCTTTTTGCTAATTAATTGACGTGCTTCGACGAATGCAGAAATTCTTGACCGAGCTATTTTCCTGGAGTATGCGCGGTATTAATGACGCGCGCTCGAGCTCGAAATCGGTATAAATTATCGCGGTATCTCGCTTAGATCAGTGCTATTTATAAAATCTGTACCTTAATTTCCCCTGCAGCGCGATGACGGAGATAATTTTCTCGATCGAATCGTACGCGAAAAGAACCGCTAGCTATCTCAATTATTTCGGAAATTACAATCGGAAAAAAGACGACAGAAAATATTGCGATACAGAGGTACCGCGAAGTGCGTGTAAGTGGAACTTTTCAAATTCACGGAAATTATTCGAGCATAAAGAAACCTCTCTATAATCTTGCATTATTTACCGAGTCTCAATTTCAGCAAGAAAGCCCTTAATTTGCCTCGCTTTCGAGTCGTTTGAACATCAAAAGGGAGAACAAACAGGCACGATTTCATGCTCGATTCACTTCAATTGCAATCCCATCAAACCTTCAGGTA